AACAAACCAGCCTCGAGACAGCGAACACTGCAGTAGCCCACGAGAGAGTGTCCCACCCCGCCCGCCACAGCTCAGCCACTCTCCAAGAGTCTAGAATCCTCTAGAAACAGTGGCACTTGGCCGCAGAAGCAGGTTGTGGTGCAGTTCCCCTCACCCAGGAAAGGTCTCCACAGGCCTCTCGGGCCCCGCCCAGGGCTCAGGGTTCCGTTTGGGCCCGTCCAGAGCTCAGGGTTCTGTTTGGGCCCATTCCCACAGTCACCCTCCTTGGGACTTGTGCTGTGCGATCACATCTGGGTCCCACAGAACACAGTCTCAAGACTCGACATCAGAAAAATGTCCTCCGGGGTTTTCTTCTAGAAGCTTCTGGCTTTAAATTTAGGTCTCCTGGTACTAATCTCGGCCACTCTTGGGTGTTAGTCTCCTATTTTGTTACTTTATGTCCCCCAGATGAATGCCATCTTCCTATCTCTGTCCCTCTCTTTCTGACTCATTTCGCTTAACATGATACTTTCCACGTAGTACCACTTGCATGTAAATTTCATGACTTCGTTTTCTAACAGCTACATAGTACTCCATTGTGTAGATGTACCAAAGTTTCTTTAACCAGTCATCTGTTCTTGGGCACTCGGGTTTCTTCATGGTGTTTCACTAATAAAATTTTTTAAAAATAATAATAATAAAAATAAATTTAGGTCTCACCGACATCCTGAGTGAGTTCCTATGGATAATGGAAGGCAGCTGCTGGAACACTTCTCTGCCTAAAGACACTTTTCCCACGCAGCGTGCCTTGCACCCGGACGGGAAAGCCACGTGGGTCAGACATGCCCGAGTCCGCCCTGGCCCGTGGACTGTCCTGCTCAGGCCCCGGGGTCCCGGCAGCTCCTCCTGTAAGGACTCAGACCGCGTGGTGCTGCGGGCGGGCCTGGCTTCTGCTGGGACTCGCTCCTTCCTGTTCAGCTGCCCCGGGATCCTGCCTCACTTTCTGCAGCTGTGCCGGGCGCCTGTTTCCCACGGTTCAAAGAGTTAATGGACTTTCAAAATGTCGACCTGTGTCACCTCTGAAGTCCAGGCTGGTCGGGCTGTTGCCAGCCTCGGACTCTGCGGGCAGGGTGGGCATAGGGGGACGCTCGCCCCGCCCGCGTGAGGCTCCGGGTTCTGACCCAGGCCCCTCACGGCCCCCTGAGCGAGCACGGCCTGGTGGCCCAGCACAGCTGGGTGTGGGCCTGGGGGGCCTCTCAGCACTACTTCATGGTTCAAGAATGGCCTGAGCCCTGCCAGAAGTGTCCCCCACCCCAAAAACCCAACCAAGAGCAGGGCTGGCTCCGAGGGCGAAGATTTTTGCTTAGACTTCACTTCTGTGTCCGCGAGGAATACTCGGCCCCGTTTTCCCATCTTGTCTTTGGCCGGTTTTCAGATCAGAGCTAATGTTCCCTGCATGATGAGCTTGGACCCACTCCCTCCTTTCCAATTTTCTAGGAAATGTTGTCTGAAATCGATTTTCTTTTTCCTGAAGTATTTGGCAGGGCCGGCCAGTGCAGCCATATGGCCCCGGAGCATTCTTTGGGGAAATGTTGTTGACGGCTTTGATTTCCTTCATGGACACAGAACTCAGCGTTGTGTGTTATCTAGTTCTTGCATACCTCACCGCTGTCCCAAAATGTTCCCGCTCCGTCTCCATGGGCGGGGGCGGGGGGGGGGATCGCGCGGCTCCGTCCTGGACTCCTTCTCCCACTGCCTGGATCCCGCTCCTCCCCGATCCCCCAGTCACGGCGCCATCCAGCCTCGGTAGAAGCAAGCAGATGCTGCCCCGTTTTCTGCCCTTTTGGGAAAAGCCCGCGCTGGCGCTGAGGAGCTTCCCACGGGCCTCAGGACCTTGCTGTCTCCCCTGCCTACCCCGTCTTCTCTGGGGCGCCTTGGGTGTTCATTCCTGCTCGGCCGGCTGTGCTCCCCATGGCTGCGGTTCTGGGATGTGTTCAAGGCCTTTGCCTTCGTGTCGTCTTGGGTCCGGCGCCATGTGCAGGGCCCCCAGCACCCCCCAGCCTTTCCTGACTGCTAGTCCTGGTCCCACGAGGTCGGGGGCACTCGCCAGCCCGGGTCCCTCTGCTTGCTGGGGTTTGGGGTGGGGTCGAGCCCACACACTTTCCCATTCGGCTCGACCCCAGAAACACAAGTGGGTGGAACAAACCAGGGTGAGCTTCGGGCCAGGTCCGAGAAGGACGCCCCGAATTCTCACATGATTTCCAGCTGGGGACTTCAGAGCTCAGAAGACGTCACCCAAAGTGTGGAATGCCGGGCTGGGTAAACAGTCCCCCGTGAGTCCCCCAGCCCTTCCCGGGACCCGCGGCATCTGCCCGTTCTCCTCCCCCGCCCCCTGCGACACACACAGGGGTGCAGGGCTGAGAGCAAGACCCAGAACAGGGCCAGCCGAACACAGCGGATGGGAACTGAGAGGGGGTGACCTGGAAAGGCTAAGAACTGTTCCTCTGGGCACGCGCTCCAGGTGACCCCTCAGGCGAGGGGCTGGACCAGACTTGGGGGCTCCTTCCCCGGAACCCCCCACCCAGTGGACAGTCCCCAGAGGCTCTCCAAGGGCTAGTGTGAGTGGCCTGGGGCCTGCACCTGTCTCGACACCCAATAGCACAGTGGGTGCGGGGCCGGTGTCAGGGCGCCCTAAGACTCCCAGGGCTGGTTGGGCCCCACCCTGGCAGTCCAGCACCTGTACCCAGCCCACCAACACTCAGGGCACCCTCCAGACCTGCGTCACACCCCCTGTCCGGAACCTGGAAGGGGTCAGGTTCTCGGCAAACGCCTCCTGGAGTGGGGTCAGCTCTGTCCCCAGGGCCCGAAGGGTTGGACCCTCCACCATAACACATGGGTTCCTGGGGTGCCCCAGACCCAGGAAGGCCAGGCAGGAGGAGAAGGGGCAGCCAAAGAGAGTGAGAACACACTCAGCCAGCGGCACAGACCCGCACCCTCCACACGCACCCCCAGGCCACAAGGTGGCCTTGTCTTCACCCAAAATGCTCTGGGCCAGCCTCTCCCCGACCAAGGGCACCACTGTCTGGGGCCAGGAGGGTCCGGGGAGATGGGGCGCGGGTCCACAGCGCAAGCAGCCCGAGGGCAGCTGACGGGGCCAGGCTGGGCTGAGAGGGGTGTCCATCCATCAGTCTGTCTCTCTGTCTGTGTCTTGGCCCAGAGCATGCAGGTGAGACGGCAGGGCTGAGCCCACACTCAGATCGGGGGTTCTCTGCAGGCCAGAGCCCCACCCCACCCTGCCATGACCGGAAAGCAGGAGGTGGGGAGGGCAAGGCCTGAACTGGCAGAGGAGCAAGTCGGAGGGTCAGCAACTAGGGCGCCCCCCAGGCCCCACTGTGACAGACGCGACCCAGAAACCCCACGACAGCCGTCCCGAGGGCTGGCAGGAACAAGGTGCCCTGGGTTCGTGAGCCTTGCAGCACACCCAGAGGGCCTGCAGAGAGCACTGTTCTCAGAGCCAGCAGAGACAGGGAGTCTCCGAGGGTCCTTGCAGTGACCCCACACACACAGACCAACCGGCGCAGATCACAGTGGTCCGGGGGCAACTCACAACAGCCGCTGTGAAGCCATTTGCCACGGCACAGCCCAGGGTGGACACAGCGGGGGCTGGGACCTTGCCGGGGAGAGGGTTCTGGCTGGCACGTGCAGCCTGGGAGGGGGGACCAGGCGCCTCTCCAGCACCCACACTGTGAAGAGGTGACCAAAAGCAGCTCCACACGCGGCCTGTCCACACCTGGGCCGTCACGCGCAGACCCCATCCATCCCCGGGCCCGTCCACGCGCAGGCTTGTCCCAGCCCTGCCCTCTGCGCCGCCCTGACCCCCCCTTCCCTGTCTGGGGACCGACCATAGCTCAACCCAGGCCCCGAGACCTGGCAGGAGGGGACAGCTCAGCCCGGATGCCAGGGCTGAGGGTCACAAAAGAGAAATCTGCCCAGAAGTCTGGGCCACAGTGGTCACGGGGTCTGGGACACGTGTGGCTACGTCTTGGCATGTGTACATGGGAGAGTGCACAAACAGACATGTGTGTGCAGGAACACCTGTATAGGAGACATGTGTACAGGACGTGTGTGCAGAGCACACGTGTGCAGGAACATGTGTGCAGGACGTGTGTGTGCAGAGCACACGTGTGCAGGAGGCACGTGTGCAGGACCCCTGTGTGCAGAAGACAAACAGATATACACACAAGGCACATGTGTGCAGAAAAACATGCATGTAGGAGACTGCGTACAAGAGATGTGTGTACCCAAGCTATGTACCAGACGTGTGTAGGTGATGCGTGCGGGAGACACGTGTGGGGGTCACGTGTGGGGGATGCCCTCACGCCCAACCCAGAGCACAGGGAGTGGCTGCCCCCCCCCCCACGTGCCAGGCTGTGCCCAAGGACTCTCTCTGGAACCCAGAGCCTGGGCCGGGCGTGGCGCTGGCAGGCGGGCCGTGGGCCCCGCACAAAGCCTCCTCATTAACATTCCGCAGGCGCGGGCGCCCGTCACTCCTGGCTCTGCCTCTGCGGAGCCCCATTAGCATGGGGACAATGTGCCCGCTCGGGCCCATCCCAGGCCAGGGCACCGGCACTCGTCACGGCTGCCCTTTGTGCCACCGCCGTGCCCAGGAGGGAGCTGGCCGGTGCACCCGGGAGTGGCCCAGCCCGCGTGTGGGGGCCACGGCAGCCAGGCTCGGGGGCTCCCGGTGGGCAGGGCCTGGCCCCTCTGAAACCACGCCGCCTTCTGCAGGGGACGGGCCCACTGTGTGGCACGAGCCCGCCCAGGAACAAGGCTCAGTGCAGACATGACACCCTCCCCGCCACCTGTGTGCCAGGGGACTCCGGCAGGAGCCGGAACTTTCCAGAAGAATCTGGAAGTGCCGGAACCTTCTGGGGCTCCGGGCGAGGCCAGGGAAGGGAGTGGGAGGAGGCAGAGTGCACAGCGCCGAGGGCTCGACCCCCACCGCCCACCACGGGCCTCACCCGGCGTCTCAAAGCCGTCCACGGAGAAGTGCACGGGCCTCCGCCCCTCTGCCGGCGGCTCGCAGGTGATCTGGGGGACCACCAGCGCCTTCTCCCCGGGGCTCAGCCCGTTGTCCTTGTCCGGTTTGAACTTCTTCTTCTTCACCTGAAAAACCCCAAGTGTGGTGCTGGGTTCTTGGGGGGGCGCCTGAGGAACCCCGGGGAGCCCGGGACTTCCAGGGGCAGACACAGACCCCCGCGGGGCCCCCAGGGCTGGGTCACAGCCAGGCCAGAGGGTCACCCACAACCCAAATACGAGCGGGGGGGGGGCACCAGGGCGGGGCGCGGCACTGGGTCACATCGGGGTGGCGGCAGGAATGGGAGCGGGGGCCGGACAAGACTGTGGCGTGTGGCCCCCACCGGCCCCAACCCTCCCAGACCCTGGCGTGTAGCCCCTGGCCTCGGCCGACCCGGCCCCCAGCATGTGGCCCCCACCAGCCCCAGTGTCCTCCCAGCGCCCCCGTGAGTGGCCCCCACCAGCCCCGGCCGTCCCGGCTCCCGGCGTGTGGCCCCGGCCAGCGCCCGCGGTTACCATGACAGACTTCTTGGGCTTGGGGCTGGGCGCCAGCGGAGGGGGACTGCGGTGCTGCTTTCGCACGTAGATCTTCCAGGTGGACGAGTCGGGGTTCTCGGCCGCGTAGCACCTCCAGGCCGTCTGCGGGGGCACGGGTCACCCTCAGAGCCCGGGGGGCGCCCCGCCAGCCGCCCTCCCGCCCCCGTCCCCGCGGCCCACCTGGATGAGGGAGGCGGCCGCCGGGATCTGCCGGTTGAAATGTTTCTGCCGCTGCTTCTGCTGCACCTTCAGCGCGAAGCCCGAGCCCAGGATGCCCTGAGGAGACAGCGGCCCCGCCGGCCACACACGTGACACGCCTGTGACACACGCGTGCCGACACAGGCTCTGAGCCCCGGGGACCCCCGCCCCCGGCCAGGGAGCCCCACGCGGGGACGCACCGCGGGCAGCGCGAAGAAGGAGATGGCGAAGACGGAGAAGCAGGAGGCGATGGTCTTCCCCACCCACGTTTGCGGCACCTTGTCCCCGTAGCCGATGGTGGTGACCGTCACCTGCGGGGGAGGGGATGCCAGGCGGGCCGGGACTCGGGGAGCCGGGCCGCCCCAGAACCACCGAGGCCGCAGCCCCCGAAGCTGCGTCCTCCCAGAGGGTGAGAGAGGAGAGGACAGGCCACTTCCCGTGCCCACCCACCTGCCCCGTACCCTCCTTCCGGCCACTGCGTGCTGAGGTCACCCTGGGCTCGGGGCAGGCGGGGCTGCTTGCAGGAGCTGTGGGCGCTGGACCTGGCACTGTTGGAGCCCTGGACACTGTCGAGGACCTGGACATTGTCGAGGTCCCTGGACACTGTCGGGGGCCCCTGGACACTGTTGGGGTCCTGGACATTGTTGAGGTTCCTGGATACTGTTGGGGGCCCCTGGATGCTGTTGGGGTCCCTGGACACTCTCAGGGCCCCTGGATACTGTCGGGGCCTATCAGCACCTGCCCACCCATGATTGGCCCTGTTCCGGTCCACCCCCTGCCCGAGGGGGACACAGGTGGGTGGCTGGGAGCCCCCGCAGGCCCAGACCTGAGGCAAGGTTTGAGCCCAGCATCAGCCCTGAGACCCCTGAGGTCCTCTGAGGCCACCAGCTCCCCCGCGGCTCCCAGCCAAGTCCACCTTCAGCACAATGCCCCCCATGGACTCGGGGGTCCTGCCCAGCGAGTCAGGGCCCAGGTCCCCCAGAGAGGCCACCCTCTGACCGCTGCCCCCTGCACACCGAGAGCCCCTGCAAGGCCTGACACCCTCGGAGACACAGGCCCTAAGCTCACGGGGATGTCCCAGCACATGCACAGAGCACATGGACACATGAGTGCCCACACAACCATGCAACACACTGTCCTGTGCTGAGGCAGCAACACGCGGCACATGTGTGCCACATACATGCATGCCACATGTGTTGGTGTGTCCCATAAATACCACATGGACACATGTGGCATGAAACAGAAGTGAGTCTACACATGTCATATACATGTACCTCAAACACACGTGCACTTATTGTCATGTATATACATACCACATGGGCACGTGTTACATATATATGATGCATGTGCGTCAAACAGCGGCATGTCATGTATCACATGTATGTACATCAAATGGTGGAAATATGTGCATGCCACATACATGTATACCACACACCATGACACGTGTGCATCACTGTGGCCAATATGCATATATCTCATAAACAGGCACATCAGATGGCATATATGTGCCTCTGATACATGTACACCGCAAAGCAGACACGCACCTCACACACGTGCATACCACATTGCTCACACGTATGGGCCACATACACGAACACGCTGCCTGTCGCGTAGAGGCACACACTCTTAGACATGACACACCATGCACACAGGACCACATGCCACACACTCACATCACACTGGGCACAGGATTACTCGTCCCAGCAGTGCATGCCACAGGGCACGCGTGTATGCTCACGACCCACACAGTAACACACACACACAGCACAATGGACTGCACACGCACACCCACGGACACGGCACCCACGAGGCTGGCCACGCTGACTGGGGCTTGGGACACCCAGAGCCTCCTGCTGTGAGCATGGTCGGGGGAGGCTGGAGGTCACGAGGGCCCAAGCAGGGTCAACGGCACGTTGGGGTCTGGGGATTCCATGCGAGAGCCCACCGGAGTGGCCGGGCCCAGGGGTGCTGGCGGCGGCTCCCGGATGTGACATAGAGGGGACCCAGACACAAGGGCTGTGCAGGGCCCAGCCAGGAGGGACCTGCCCCCGCTGCCCCCCCCCACACGGGACCCAGCACTGGGGTCCCCCGGCTACCACCCTTGCCCACGTCAACGTCAGTCGCTCCCTGTGCATGGGGAGCACAGCCCTAACCCACACAGGCCACGCCCAGCTCAGCCACTTGGGACAGGCAGGGCCCACGAGGGCACCCGCGGCCTTGTGTCATGCACAAGGCCCTGGGCTGGCTCCCCCCGAGGGTCCCGGGGGCGCTGGCCCGGGACCCCTCCTGCCTCCTGCAGAGGCTCTTCAAGGGGACTGGGTACCCCCAGAATGTTGCGGGGGCATCTCTCCAGGGAAGGGGCAGCCACCGAGGGCAAAATGACCAGGGGGGAAACTGAGGTCAGGAGGAGCAGCAGGATGGACCCCGCAGGTGGGGGAACCCCGCGGCCACCACAGTCCAAGCCTCACTGACCTCGTGCCCCCCCCACGGGCTGGGAAGGGTCCAAGGTGGGGGTGCTGGCATGGGTCACATGCTGAGAGGGACAGACCCTGGGCTCTGGGGACTGCAGGGCTGGCTGCGGACAGGGCAGGCCGCACAACCCGGGAAAGGGCCGCGCAGTCAGCAGGGGAGGGGCATGTACTCACAGACCCCTACACATCCTGCAAAAACCCAGCCAGGAGTGTCCTTCCAAGGGAAGGGCTCCGGGTGGCTTCACACCCCACACCTATGGGTGTGTGTGCGTGGGGGCCTGCAGACCCCCCACCCCCATTCTCAGCCTCAGCGGGAGCCACAGGGTGGCCAGGTCGGGGTGCTGCTTTACGGGCCAGGCTCCCCACCCTGTGTGGGGTGCCGACGGGGCGGGCGTGGGGGCCGTGCTCTGGCCCCGTCCTGCCAGGATGTCGGGCAGCCCGGGGGGCCGGGCCCCGCCACCGCGGACAGCAGGAACAGGCGCCGCTTCAGAGGCAGTGGCGAGGCCTCGGGCTTCTTCACTCGGGTTCTAAATTTAGACTCGGGGGTAAACAGCGCCGGGAGGCTCCTGGGCCGAGACCCCCAGCGCGTCACAGAGGAGCTGTGTTTGCACGGCCGCACGGACAGACGCCGTCTGTTCCCGCACGGCCAGCCGCGGCCTCCCAGGGGGCCCACGCGGGGCTGGGGGCGGGCATGGGCTGACGGCCTCCTGGGCCAGCCTCCCCGGGACCCTCGGGGGGAGCCAGCCCAGGGCCGCAGATGCCGGGGACGGAGCCTTGGCTGCCTCTCACCCACGGTGGAGCCTAGGGCCATGGAGCCGGCGGCAGCCACCCACACACCCAGCCGCCCACGCACCCACACGGTCCCCCACACGGTCCCCCACACGGTCACACACACAGTCCCCCACATTGTCACCCAGTCACCCACACTGTCACCCACAGATCACCCATACAGCCCCCTACACTGTCACCCACACAGTCACCTACATCCACATGGTCAGTCATCCACATGGTCACCCACCCCCACACAGTCACCTAAACGGTCACCCACCCACACAGTCATCCACACTGTCACCCACATGGTCACCCACTGTCATCCACAGTCACCCACACAGTCACCCACACTGTCCCCCATCCGTCGTTCCCCACAAAGCCCTGCACTCCGTCACACACACTTCTACCATCACCCCTACCCTAGCCCCCCACACAGACGCCAGCAGAGCCTGAGGACCCCCACGGCTCCTTTGGTCTGATGGGCCGGAGGGTCCCCACAAATCCACAGACCCCAGAGCCTGGACACCCCTCGGGAGCCATCCTGCACCCACTGACTTCTGCTGGGGCCAGATGGTGGCAGAGGTGGGAGCAGCAGAGACACGTGGGGGCAGGACAGTGAGACACAGACACACGGTCACTGCGGGGACAGGACAGTGAGACACAGAGGCCAGTCAGGCAGCCTGGGACAAGCCACTGGCCGAGGTGGCCCTTGGCAGGAGCGGCCATCACCGTCCATGCCAGCTGCTGGAGGAGCCCCGGGGCGCGGGAACAATGGCCCCGGGGCGCGTGGCCGAGCCCGCTGGGCTGCAGCTGGCGTGAGGGCTGGGGCCCTGGTGCCAGGCACAAAGGGGCCGTGTTCCCGCGGGCAGCGGTGGGCGGATGTTTGCACAGGTGTGGAGGTGGGGCGGGCGGGGGCACCGGGCACTCCCCTCAGAGCCCTTCCCGACTGGGCAGCTGCCCCCACCCGGGACGCCCTGCTGGCAGCTCACCCCCCCCCCGTGGGGGCGCCCCACCTGGTGTGGCAGAGCCCAGGCCCCACCCCGTCCTTGTCCCCCCACGGCCTGGTGCCCCAGAAGCTTCCAGAGAACATGGACGTGGGCACACAGGGCGGCCGGGGCGGGCATCGGCGGGAGCTGCCAGGGGAAGGGGGGCGGCCGGGCCCCCAAGGTCACGGGTCCTCACCGGGCCCAGACCGAAGCCCACCAACCCACAGCATGCCGGGCCCCGGAGGGCAGAAGCCGCGAGTCACGCGCTCAGACCCTGCCCGCGCCCCGAGCGCTCACCACTCCCCACCACAGCGCGTCCGCGTAGCTGCCGAACTCCACGCGGCCCGACTCGTTCACGGCGTCCTTCTCGGCCAGGTACACAAAGTACGAGGAGAAGATGAGGCCCAGGAAGCCGATGTACAGCGTGGTGATGAGCTCCTGGGGGAGGGGCTGTCAGCAGGGGGCACACGCAGGCACATACACGCGGGCACGTGCGGGCACACGCGGGCACACACAGCCCCCCTCCCGCTCCCGCGCCCACCTGCCGGTGTATGAAGACCACGGAGCCCAGGAGCCGCCACGTGCCGCCCTGCCGGTCCACGTGCAACATCCGGAGGATCTGTAGGAAGCGGATCCCCCTGCGAGAGATGCCGAGTCCTCAGGGGGCTGCGCGGGAGACCCACCCACACACTCCTCCCCCCCCGTGCCCCATCCCTGCACCCCACAGCCTGCACCCATATCTCACACCCCCATACCCGCACCCCCACGCCACACACCCCACACCCCGCACACCCCGCACCCTGAGCCCCACCCCACGCCCACCTACCTGATGGCCGAGGTGGCAAACACCTGGCCCTTGGAGCCCACGCAGAGGACCACCATGGAGGCCACGACCACGATGAGGTCTGGGGAGAGGCGGTGTGTCCCAGGCGGCCCTCGGGCAGGGGAGACCCACCCCCGGCCGGCCGGCCACCCCGTGTCCACTCACCGATGATGGAGATGGGCTTCCGGGCGAAACGCAGCCGGCCCCAGAGCCCCACGTACTTGCTGCGGCAGCCAGCCGACCACAGGCGGATCACGTACTCCGTGCCGAAGAAGACCACCAGGACGATCTCCTGCGGGGGCAGGGCCAGGCTCGCCACGGGCACGGCAGACCCCCGACACCAGGACGCTGAGGCTTGTGCCCTGGTCTGGCCCAAGAGGCCAGCTGTCCAGTGCTTGGCCATAGGCGCGGTAGCCCGGATGCTCCGGGGAGAGCCTTGTGGGAAAGGGGCAGGTCCCAGCAACTCAGGGACCGCGCAACACCCAGCAGAGGGCAGAGGGCAGAGGGCAGGGCCAGGGTAGCCCTGGAAAGGGGGCGCACATAACGTCAGCCACCAAGACTGTTCCAGAAAGGGGCTTGGAGGGGGTACGGTGCCGCCAGCAGGCCACCCTGTACCTGCAGGGCGAGTGCGTCAGCAGCCTGAAGTGTCTTCAGGCTTCCTGAGAACCCCCAAATTGCCACTGTGTCTCTGGCTAGACCCCAACAACTTGGGACCACGTTTCCCGCAAAGTTAAGCGGCCAGAAGTGAGGCACGTGGGAGCCACGCCCACAACCCACCTCCGGCTCAGCAACACAAGCTCGTTATGGCCTTGCTTCAGAGCCCATAAATACCTCCCAAAAGAGACCAAAACCAGAGACCCACAAATGACTCTCGGAAGAGAGCAGCAGACTGCAGAGATGTCTCCCCACCCAGTGCCAGGCTGATTTCACGGGGGCACCTTGGAGGGGGGCAAGTGTGTCCCTCCACCTGCCCCAGGTGAACCCCGGCAGCCGCAAACCTCCAAAACCCAATCACCGCCATGTTCACGGCCGACCTTCACAGGCTAGACCCAAGCCCCCCATGCATGAGAATGAACCCACTGAAAAACCCAGGTACGTGGGACCAGGGACTGAAAACTCCAGGCTTCAGGGTGTCGGGGATGGGCGACCTCCCCCCACCTCCCAGCCCTTCCTGCGTCCTGGCAGTCACGCCCATGAACAGTGCCTCTGGGCACTGTTTAAGCCACCACACATGGCAGCCCGGGAATAGGCCACCATCCAACATGATGATGGATGGATGGATGGAGTCATGATCCAGAGACTCACAAATGAATCTCGGAGGAGAGCAGCACGCTCTAGAGATGCCTCTGAACCCCAAATGTTTAAAAAATTTAGAATTCCAGGAGCGCACTGCCGTTTTTGCAGCTGCGTGGCATCTCATACAAAATAAATTATTCAGCATCTGCCTGTGGGGCAGGCTTGGGTGGTGGTGGGAAACTTCGAGATAATGGTGGTGGGAAGGTGTCATGGTGGAGGGGCTGGTGTTGAAATATTGCATGAAAACAATTATTGTGAGCAACTTTACAAAAATGAAATTTAAAAATTTTAAAAAGAGAGAGAGAAAGGGACTTTGTGGGGTGGTAGAGGAAGCCCAAGGACAAGCACGTGGATGGCACATGGATAACGCGGGAACATACAGGGAACACAAGAGGGGGACGGAGGGAGGGAGATGGATAAACAGGTGGGTGGGTGGGCGGATTCATGGAGAGATAGAGGGGCAGATGCAGGCATGGATGGATGGATAGGCAGGTAGGTGGGTGGGTGGATGGATGGATGGATGGATGGATGGATGGATGAGTGAATGGGTGGGTGGATGGATGGGTGGATGGATTGGATGGATGGATGGATGGATGGATGGATGGATGGATGGATGGATGGGAGGGTGGATGGATGGATGGATGGATGGATGGATGGATAAATGAATGGATGGGTGGGTGGATGGATGGATAGACGGATGAGTGGATGGGTGGATGGATGGATGGGTGGGTGGATGGATGGAGGGATGGAGGGATGGATAGATGGATGGGAGGATGGATGGATGGATGGATGGATGGATAAATGAATGGATGGGTGGGTGGATGGATAGACGGATGAGTGGATGGGTGGATGGGTGGATGGATGGATGGATGGGTGGGTGGATGGATGGAGGGATGGAGGGATGGAGGGATGGATGGAGGGATGGAGGGATGGGTGGGTGGATGGGTGAATGGGTGGATAGATGGATGGATGGATGGATAAATGAATGGATGGGTGGGTGGATGGATAGACGGATGAGTGGATGGGTGGATGGGTGGATGGGTGGATGGATGGATGGGTGGGTGGATGGATGGAGGGATGGATGGAGGGATGGATGGATGGGTGGGTGGATGGGTGGATGGATGGGCAGATGGATGGATGGGTGGATGGATGGGTGGGTGGGTGGAAGCATGGTGGGTGGATGGATGGAAGGATGGATGGATGGGTGAATGGATGGATGGATGGGTGAATGGGTGGATGGGTGGGTGGATGGATGGGTGAGGGATGGATGGATGGGTGGGTGGTGGATGGGTGGACGGATGCATGCATGGATGGGTGGATGGATGAATGGAGGGGTGGATGGATGGATGGGTGGATGGATGTGTGGAAGCATGGGTGGGTGGATGGATGAGTGAATTCGTTGGTGGGTGAAGAGGTGGGTGGAAGGATGGAGCAAGATAGGGACAGGCAGATGGACAGACGGCTTTGAAATTAGGTTCTAGAGGAGAGGGCTCTAAACCAACAATCACCGAGACGAATTGGTAAATTCCCCAAAAGGAAAACTTTACCATGACTGCATGAAGAAGCAAGACTCTGAGTGGAGCCGTAATGAACATTGACCCTCCGGAGCCCAAACTCTCCCCACAGCACCAGCGTTCCAATAGCTGCAACCCAGCCCCCTGGCAGAGGGGCACACGCCAGCCTCAACCGGGTGGACCCTGGCCCCAGAACAGAGGTTGACCCAGGGGCCACCACACATGGCATCCCGGAAACAGGCCACCACCTCACAGGGTCCCACAGGGAGCACCTTGAAAAGCCAGGACAGGGGGTGGCAGTGGAAGGGACCCCACAGGGACACCAGCCCAGCCGTTACCCCCTGACCGGGAGGGGAGGCTGGTGCCCCCGTCACCTAACCCACGAGTCCTCCCCCAGCCTGGTGGCCTCAGAGCACAGGGAGGTCCATTCCAGGGGGCAGGAAGCAAGAGAACAGGTAGCAGTGCCCCCCAAAGACCCCACAAAACTGCGGGTGACACTGTCCCCGGGGCCCTGACACTGCACAGGGTAGAGAGAACGTGGGGCAGCACCTTGTCCGTAGCAACCCCGGAAAGGGCCGGACCCCACGGGGCTGCAGAGGGGACGGGGCGGTGGGGTTGGGGGCCCTGTGGGGGCAGGAACATGCCCACGGCCCCAGGTAGGGCCCCGCGCCTGCACCCGCGCCTGCAGAAACGGGCCAAACCCAACAAGCTCCCGGGTCTCTGGGCGCCCCTGCCGAGGCCAGGAGGGGGCTCACACAGGGGTCAGACCCTGAGGGTCCCAAGTCCCACCGGGAAGGAGCCCTGAGCACTGCCAGGTGCAATCCAAACTTCAAAAGATGAAAGTTTAAAAAAAACCGCAAAGGGTCAGAGCGACAGTCCAGCAGGTGGGCGCTTGCCGTGCCCCTGGCTTTGATTCCCAGTGCCTCGATGGTCCCCGAGCCTGCCAGGAGTGCTCCCAAAGTGCTCCCATGTGCAGGGCCCGAGTCAGCCCTGAGCACCGCCGGGTGTGGTCCCCCAAAGGAAAGAGGGGCGTCCCAGCTGCCCTCAGCCTGGCTGGCCCCTGAGCACAAGCTACCAACGCAGAAGCAAGCCCGGTCAGGGCAGCCCCTGAGCTATGGGGCCCCGGGAGGCGCGCGACCTGCCAGCACCAGGATGAGGGTCGGCCCGTCCGGCCACCAGCCCTCCGTCCATCCATCTGTCCACCACCTGACCCCCTGTTCTCGCCCCCAGGACCCTGAGGCCCCTGCATGAGTAAGACCCTGTGCTCTCCTACTGACGGTGGTCCCAGGGCCCTGGCACGTGCCCACCTGGGCCTGCGGTGAGGCCACCCCCGAGGGCAGCCCTGGGCCCTGCCCCCAAGAGGGCAGCTGGGGGGGCGGTCAGTGTCTCTGACACAGAGAGTAGGCCCCCCCCACGCCTCCCAGACAGCAGACACAGGAGGGGTCTGCCAGGCACCCCTGGGCACACCTGCACCCCCCCACGCCACCCTGCCTCGTCGCCCCCAGCCCGGGCGCCATGATCCTGTTCTCAGACTCGGACATGGGGGTCCAGAGGGGCCGGTGGGGCTGGGGCTGGTGGGGTCGCCGCAGGCCAACGTCCCCGGAGCACCCCCCCACCATGCGGGGCATATCAAGGGCTGCAGCAGGCACCAGCCGGGAGTCCCCCGAGCCCCCAAGGAAGGGTGTTGTGATGGGCAGGGCAGGGGCGGGCCGGGGGCGGGGACAGCTGTGCTATAGTGGGACAGAGGTTTTGTTTGCGGGACAGGGCAGCTGTCCAGTGGTGTGATGGCCGCCTGGCCCTGCTCGTGTGTCCACTGTCCGGGCTCTACAGGCACATGGGGGCGGCCGGGGCAAAGTGGCCTTCTGGGGGCCACAGAGCTGTGTTAGCTAGACACACACAGTCGGGCCCATGAGTGGACAGTGCGTCTCAGCCTTGCACACAGGGGTTCGCGGGCCTCTGGGGGGCTCCCGGGCCTCTCGGTCAGGGTCAGCCCCCACTGCCCCCCCCGGGGGGACGGAAAGTGCGGCCTTGGGCCGGACCTTGTTCGCTCAGTATCGAACAGACGGCAGCTGCCGGCCGAGGGTCCCTGAACTCCGACCCCCGCTTTCCCGGCAGTGTTGACAAAGCAGCTGGGCGGTGCCCCCGGAAGGTTCTGGATGCCGGGGGTGACAGACAGAGGCCCACCGAGCCACCCGTCAGGCCCTCCCCATCCGGGCTGACCCCAGCAGCGCCCGTGTCCGCGAGGCAGAGCCCAGAACCAGGGGCACCCACACGCACGTCTGCGGGGGGCTCGGTGCAGGGGTGGGGCCACTGACCCCAGAGCCAAGGCAAAGGTTTGCTAAGTGGACACCGAGCTGGTCCTGCAGCTCCGGGCACTGGGGAGGGTGACCCTGAGTGGGGCCCTGCTGGTGGCCGGGGCCTGTGGGCGACCCACTCTCTGGCAGTGGGCGCCCTTTGTGGGGCGACGTTGCGGCATCTGTGG